CTACAATTTACTGATGCTCCCTAAACGCCCCACATAGCAGGCTGCGGTAGATGCTACTTGGTGGCTGCGGTGTGCCCAGACAGGTGTGCCATAAAAAATGACTTTAAAAATAATAAACATGGGCATTCTCATGTCAGATTTGTCCAATTTGTCCCTGTGGCCCAGTTTGTGAAGGGAGGGGATCATGCTCTGCTTCAGGAAGTCACAGTACATGTTGGCATTCATGGTTCCCTCAATAAAGGCAAGACACACTTGTCTTTGTACTCCTCACCTGATTTCCGCCCAACTTGAACATTTTCACTTTGGGGTGTATTCACTTTTGTTGCCAGCGGTTTAGACATTATTGGCTGTGTATTGAGTTATTTTGAGGGGACAGTAAATTTACACTGTTATACCAGCTGTACACTGGCTACTTAACATTGCAGCAAAGTGTCATTTCCTCAGTGTCGTCCCATGAAAAGGTATAATAAAATATTTGCTGCTACGTGACTTTCGTGACATACTGTACATAAAAGGTGTTTGTTATAGTGGAGTGGTCTGCATGCACCTCTGGCTGCTAGAGCTACACAAACAGTGCTCTCTGTAGTGTTTGTGAACTTATATTAGTGTTGAATACTGATGATTAGTTGTTAATCGATTAATTGCTTCAAACAGGTTACTCAAACAAAACACATAAATGGATAAAGCAGAGGATGAGGAACATGCATGTCAGAATATGTCCCATTGTAGTGTCGCGCAACTACTTAGTCACTGTTTTTCAATGAGATGGAGTTACATGTGTGTTTGCTGACCGCCTGTAAGGCTCTCATAAAACGAGTGGTCCTCCCCACGGTCTAACTGCAAACTCTGCAGCATAAATTTGTAAAAAGGTGTCCTGTACCTGCACAGTTGTAGCTAGCTAACAGAGGCTCATGCTAAGCTAGGATTTTCAATTGCTAACACAGACTGGAAGTTAAGTAACTGTCAGCAGAGACACAGTTAATATTCAGGAGCAGCAGGAATCTGATAAATACACTTGGCAGTAAATTTTAAATAACCTGGTTGTTTAATTTATCTGTTTTTCAAATTTTTGATGTGATCAAGCCAATTTTATGATGAACATTATATAATAATAATAATCAAAGCCGCAAGCGGCATTTGATGGGTCCTCGCCCTACGCTTGTTGCCGTCGTGCACGTCGGAGTGTGGCGTAAACGTGCTCCAGGCTGGACTCTGATCCAGCGTGTCGACTTTGAGGCAGATGGGAGCACTTGCGGCCCAAGGACACAACCACCATGACACAGGTTACAGGGTGGAATCAAACCGCCAACCTTTCGATCATTGACCGACCCGCTCTACCACCTGAGCCACAGCCGCCATGTAAAGCTTCTGGAAACTTCTCCTGTGCTTCTCTACATGTGCACTGCTGAGCTCTGTGTTCAGTCCAGGAACAGAATATTACAAGTCCAGTCCAATATACTTTGTTTAATAACTCTTTAAGGAAAAATGACTACGTGCTCACAGTCCATGAGGTAAATGAAAAGGACAATGAGAAATCAGTAAAGTACACTAATGTGATTCAAGTAAGCATAGGTTTTACCTTTTAGAGTGTGCAAAAAAGGATCTTTGCTTCTCTTTTCACGGGATTCTTGGCCTTTAATATGTTATTTCTGGAAATGGTTCAACTGATTGCTTCTGATTGAACATTCACATGCTGCAATTTAGCAAATGACTCGTGATTTGAAAACCAACTAAGAAGGCGTGCTGCGTTGAATGGCCGCTGCTGCTCTTGACGTCAGCGGAAGGTGGATTCCTTCCTGCTGCTTCGTTCGGTCGGAGTAAATTGGAGGCCCAGCGCATGTCAGAGGGACGGAAATAAATGCATGTGAGGTTGAGGGTGTTTGTCCAGGACGGTGCCGGATGATTCATTAAATTATTTCCAGGGAAAAAAATTTTGAGAAATTTTTACCTTCAGATCGTACTCTACATGCTAACCGAAATTCAGCGCTCTGAGGTTTACCCCCTAGGAGGAGTGTGTTCAGGGTGGAAAAACGAAAAATCCAAAATGGCCGACTTCCTGTTGGGTTTAGGTGAATGGCACCCCCAGGCTTTTTTGTTCATCTGGATGTGCTGCATATGTCCACTAAATTTCATGGATGTAAGTGAAACGTGCTGGCCCTAGTAGATGTTACAAATCTACATGCTTTCCTGTTGCCAGCAGGTGGCGCTATGACTGTGAATGGATATTGGTATATGGGTTTCATAGAGGCAGGACTGTGATCAATTGTGTAAAGTTTGAGGCAGATTGGAGAATGTACAGGGTCGTTAGACATGCTTCCTTTTTGATGGCAAATCATCACAATTCAGAGGGCCACCATTGCCACTGTTGCCTTTGTTGCCATTGTTTTGATAACTTTTGATCACCAAGCCCTGTTGTACGCACTGGCCAAACTTGAGGTGTGTAGGAGTCAACCCCTGGGAGAAGATAGATTTTGAAAATCGCAAAAATCACAAAAAATTGCACACTTGTTTCAAAATGGCGGACTTCCTGTTGAGTTTACGGAATGGGTCCAAGAGGCTTTATTGTGCATCCTGATGTGTTACATATGCCTACCAAATTTTGTAAACATTGGTTAAATGTCCTGCGGGGGCTATTGGATAAATTGCTGCAGGGGGCGCTATAGAGCCATTTTGCCAAACAGGCACACATTGTGGTTGAGCCGATAGTGATTCGTATGTCAGTTTTGGGGAGTTTATGAGCATTCCAAAGCTGTCAAAAAAATCCTTTCCATGTCATAGCAACTATGCGTCACCATGGCAACACCGTTGCTTAAAAACACAAAAGCTTCACGCTGTAGCATCAACAATGTGGAAAGACTTAGCTGACCAATTTTAAGAATGATATCACAAAGCTTGGAGCAATGGCACAAGTACGTGTAATGCCTCAAACAGCCTGTTGCCAATAGGTGGCGCTATGACTGAATGGATTTTGGCATATGGATGTGATCAGGAGAGCAGTCTGATCAAATATTTAAAGTTTGAGGCAGTTTGGAGCATGTACAGGGTAGTAACACGGTACTTCCTCTTTTTTGGCGAAGGATCAAACATCAGAGGGCCACCGTGGCTACACCCTTTGACCCTTGCAGATGATTTTGGTAACATTTTAG